AGCAGTTACAAGGATATCTGGGTCACCGTAGGACTTGTCCCACCTTCGAAGCCAGAAAACGTCCATTTCTTCTCAAAGAGAATTTCTTGGTCGAGGGAGGAGCAATGATTTATACAAAAGTACATATATTAAATAATAATAAATCGAGAAAAAAAAAAAAAGAAATAACACAGGTCCAAGCCCGGGTACCCCATTTCAAACCCCCCTCCCCTCCACAAAACCCTAAAAATGGATAACGACTAATGATCTCCTAATAAATCTCACCAACTTCGACATACTGTAAGTACTCTTTAAGCAAAACATGCATGTTTGACAGATCTCTCAACACCTCCTGGATTGCACAACGATCCTGTGCAGGTGTCTCGCTCTTCTACTCTCGATTCATCAGTGTCTTCATTCTTGGACCACAAGGCTTGTGATGTGACGACTTTTCTGACATTTTGCCTCGCTTCATTATAATGAGGTGAAGAATAGCTGCTGCAGACTGAGCAGACAGGATTCTGTCTCAAAGCCCAGTTTAGAAGGTGCTGAGCAGGCAGCTGTCGAATGTACCACCATCTGGACCCAGTTCCCCAAAAAATCTTACATTGTGGTAATTCAAGGTAGTTCAGAAATGAAGGAGAATGGCTCCTGTGGGTCAGCTGTCCCATTCCTGCTCCACCCATAAATGCATTATTTTCATAGATACTGTTCCAATGCAAAATGTTAACCTACCAAATCAAAACGAGGCAAGCTGGAAACACAACTGCTGTGTGCCAGTTCTCATCATGCTGAACAGGATGTTTGCTAACGCCAAGTAAACCTGTCCAGCTTTATAACAGCAGCTATGAAAGCACCTTTGTGGGTGAAGCATGGACAGGTCAATGCATCATTCTGTAGTCAGCATCACAGCCACATAAGGAACTATGGACCTAAGTGTTTTTTCTCCATAGGAAAACGAAACGATGTTTTTGAAAATTTGTCCTGTGCACATTTTTCCTGAACGTCATCGGATCCTGAGTTACGAGGTCATTAAGGAGTTGAAATATGAACACTGCTATCCATATTGTCGCCGTCCAAGGAAAAACAAGTATCTCCAAAATGGTAGGTTTACAGGAGAGGCCAAAAATGTCCTTTACTTTCAATGAAAGTTAATGTAAAGTGATTTTATTCCAAGCAATTTTGGAGCATTTCTATTGATCCATTCATTATGAAGTTGTCACACAATGTAAAGAGCAGCTGTCGGGCACAAATGATGTGAAAAAGTAAAAAAAAAAAAATGGAGATACTTTTTTTCTTTGGACAGCGATGATGTACTACAAGCACGCTGACAGTCCTGCACTGAAATGGCAGTACACCATCTTGACGTGGTGTTCTGAGTTTGTCCAGTGCGTTGTGCCCTGCTTGCTGGACAGAACTTCTACTCACTAAGTTATTTGTTCTGAGAACTCCCCCTGACCATGACTGGCCTTAATCGCCGAGTGGTTCATTCAGAGACTATGATTCGTCCACTTCATTAAGTGGGCTGCTATGTCTTCTACGTATGTGCTTAGACATACACCAAGTTCCTGTTAAGTGTACGTACACCAACTTAGTTCTTACTCATCGTTTAGTTTGTATACTGCCAAATTTAGTCCACCACCCTTCAAGAATGCAACATAACAACACCAGCTCTTTTTAAAATGTACAAATTCAACAAAGCTTGCTGGTTTGTGTCGGGTACCTTGGGTAGTTTGCAAGTGTTAGGATGTCAGGTCAGTGCGCAGCAGTATTAGCATGCATGTAGCAACATTTTGAATACTTAACAACTTCAAAATTCAGAGGATCCAGTGACATTTGGAGGAAAATTGTACATAAAACAAAACCTCAGGTTTGGAAAATTTTTGTTTAACACAGTGCGCGATTTTGGCGATTTTCGAAAATGCCAGTCATTTTTCCCATAAACAGAAACTGCTTACACCTGGAGTTCCTAATATGGGCGTGATGCCGACTACATAACGACAACAGAACTTCAAAAGGTCTATTTACAATGTTATCTTCTTTAAGATGTTTTTGGGAAACCGATTCAGGTAAAACTCTTTTTTCTTTAAGAAAAGTCATTCGGCACACCACTATTCACGAATAACTCAGCCTGAAGCGTTTATACAATCTCACAGAGGCCGTCTGCAAAGCGTTACTTCTTACGCACCGTCTGATGAGAGAAAACTTGTGAAACTTTGTGGTGGGGATTTCAGTACAGTTCCCCACCGGTGGCAGTATTTGCTGTAATATAAGCAGCGTCGTAAGGTGCCTCAAAGTCGAGGATGTTACATTGCTGAGAGCTACAAATCTCATTAGCAGCCATTAAATACGTGATGTTACAGTGCGAGTCTTCACAGCTCTCCTCCATAAGATACTCAAATATATGTGATACCTTTGCAGAATAACATCTACACTGTTGCATTGTGACCATGCATAGTGACTATATTGTACCTTTTAAACATGAAAGAGCTCTGCGAGTGCATTGTTTAACTCATTAACGACTTGCTGACGTGTGCTGAGTGAGAAAACCTCACCCAGACCTTTAAATATCAAAACGATTATGAAGTTAAACTACTGATAATCCGAAGAGAAGGGTTACAACACCTAGATGACAAAGTAAATGACAGTACAACATATCCATAACAATAAACACATCTTCTTTCTGTAGGCCGTGATTGTCATAAGATTCCTGACTCCACTACGGGACCCTCGCGCTAACTACAGGTCCTGCAAATTGATAGCACAGTATGACAGACGGATGTCTCGATGTCTGCCTGCGAATCGGAAATGAGCCGTCCCCACGGAGAGCTCTGGGGGAGGTTATCCAATAGTGGATCGACTGGGCTCTCTCTGGGGCGGAAGCAGCAGCAGAAGCACACAGATTGGGTTTCCAAGGCTCAGGCTCAGCCCTTCATCTCCTACAGGGCCTACTGAGGTCTTTTAAGCCCATAAACTGCAAAGGGTCTATATATTCATTCTCATAACTACATAACTTACATATTCAAAGTCATTACTAAACAACTATACCAAAGCCTTTAATGAGAATTCCACCAATTTGTCAACGGTTGAGGTGTGAACAAAATCATTCAGAGTGGTTTGATATGAAATGCTCCATTATAGGGAAACTTAGCAACTCGGACTGCTTTACAGTGGTGGCGATAGGAAAATGTGTACAACGTAAATAAAGCAAAGTAAATTTTATTTGCTATCCGAAATGACTACTGAACCGATACGCGTCTTCTGAGCCTTCTATGTAACGTTGATGATGGCAAAATAGTGGTAAATTTGAAAAAAATCAGTTTTCTTTGGAGACTGTTTTGTTTTACAGCACACTGCATGAACCCCTCCACCACAAATGCGTTTAAAAATATATGCTTTAGGCCAAAATCTTCTTTCGAAACTGTGTCTCAGGCATCATGCAGCATATTCGTAACCATTTCATGTAATAACCTTCTGTGAGGGAGCTTTTAGGGGCATTAAACTCTTCAGACGTCTGGTTCCTATCACCACCACTGAGTCAGTTCTCTAGAAACGAGCATTTCACATCAATCTACTCTGAATGGCTGTTTACATATAAACCATTTATTCATGCAGAAGTTTTGAAAAACCCAATTGAATTCCCCTTTAAAGGAATGACCCAGCCAAAAACAAGGGGTCTAGCTAAAAGCAGCAGCGGCAGCCTAACTTCTATCTATAGTTTTATCCATTTTTTTAGAGAAAAGCATGTTAAACAGTATCAGAAACCACATATGTAAGCCTATTTGAGATTACTTCACAATCTGACATAGTGGCTGATGATTTAGGCATAACAGCGGTGTCCAATCCTGTTTCTGGAGATCGAGCACCCTGCAGAGTTTAGCTCCACCCCTAATCTAACACACTTGATTCAGTTAATGAAGTTAATGAAGCATCTGAATATGAGAACCAGGTGTGTTAGACCTGAAATCTCCAGGGTGGTAGATCTCCAGGACCTAGAAGCTTTCTTATTAGCTTCATTAGTTTCATAGCGCCAGCGCAAAACTAAAGAAGCTAAGTTCAGATACCAAACCTTTTTTTTGGCTGAGCCATATCTTTAAAGTTTGGGGAGGGCGGGGAGGGCACAGAGGGTAAAGAAGCCCACCTGCAAGATGCTTCTCGCTCTCTACTGTGAGCTCAGACTCTGTGGAGCTCTGGCTGGGTTGGATGCCTATCGCGCCAGGCTGAATGGACCTCTGTTCCCAGCTGTGCCCCCACCTGCCCCTCTCATCCTCCCCAGCCGACACCTGGCCGAGCACAGCTGCCCAATGCCCCGCTTTATCTCCAGCCAGAGGAACAGGCCGGGAGATAACCAGCACGCAGAGCATATGCTAGCTAAGCTCACTCTCTCTCAACACGCTCTACTTACAGCGACAGACATGGACACACAGCACACACACACACACATACTACCTGTCCACTTACGTTACCTGAACAGTGCTTTTCTGCTACTCTTTGAATAAACTGTTAGCTTGATTTACCCATCAATTTCTCTTTTTTTCTTTTTTTTTTCATTTTTTTGCAAAAAGATAACACATACAAAGGCTCGTGAACCAAAAGTGAGTGACGCCTATAAAGAACAATGAGATGAGATGCGAAACGTTAATCCTCCACGGAGTCCCAGTTAACAGACACAGTTTATACATTCAGGTGCTGTATGCCTCGGCCATCTTTCAAGCCCATGAAAGCGGATAGCGGAGCCGCGCTTCTTGATGGTCGTCCAGCAAGGACACGCTTGGTGCCTGACAAACGCAGAGACTCGTCAGCCAATCAAACAGACAAGCACTTTTAATGAGGAACGCACAGCATCTGCCGGGCTGACGGGAGCTCTCAAGAGGTGCTCGGAGAGACACCAACTGACGGAAGGAGAACGTAACAAAGGGGAAAAAAAACAAACAAAAACAAAAACACCCCAGCAAGGTCCTGTGCAGGAGGGGTCTGCCACAAGAAGGGAGCATGCTCAAAAGGCCATCATGCACAAAAGAAAACAGAAAAAAGTCACTCGAGCTTTCTCCACACATGCAGACAGTGGAAGCGCTACACATTCTCTGCGGTCTCCTCTTTCTTTTTCTATTTTTGTCTCCTTCCTATGTTCCTGGACGCTAAATATGTATATCTCACGTCTCATGCTACAAATGTATCTAAGTATGTAATCATAAGCAGAATCTTCGCGAAACCTGTGGATGTATTTTGCACGTATTGTGCATGTTTCGTAGAAGTTCAGACACAAACAACAATTCATCAGTTCAGTTTTTGTGTGGTCCATATATTTGGGATTGTATACGACTCAGTCTGTGTTGACGTGTGTGCATGTATGCGTGTGTATTTAGATCTATACATGGCAGTGATGCAGTCAGAGTACAAGTGTAGGAGCTTGTCCATGTATTCTTCTCTTAATTCTTGTTTCTTCTCCTGCTCCAGTCACAAGCATGTGGACAAAGGACAGCTCCGCTCCGTGGAGTAGACAGTAGAGCCTTGGTCCTGGGCAGGGCAGTGCTACGCTGAGAGAACAAGTGCTTCGATAAGCCAGAAGAGAGAGAGACAGAGAGAGAGAGGAAGAGGAAGAGGTGGGGGTGATCCTGTGCCGGGGTAAGGGTCATCACTTCTGGGTAAAGAGAGCTCCGATGGTTACCCCCGCTGCCCCCAGGGCTGCCAGGCCAAACACTGTCTTTAGATAGGGCCAGGGGTGGAAAATAGACCTTCTCTGCTGACTGTAGATCTCCACAAAGCCATCCTGGAGGAGGGAGAGAGACAGAGAAAGAAAAATAAAGAGATTTTAGCATCATTTGAGTTTATCAACCCTTTAATTCCCAGTTTTATTACATCCTAAAGCTTATTATTCAGTAGCAAAGTTAGGTTTATTGAGGTTTGATAAGATGGAACAGACAAAAATGTACCCACATTTAGTACCACATGTAAAAACACATGGATGCAATGATTTTTACAACTACTGTGCTGCATTAAAGCCAGTTAAACAGGTATAATTATGCTCTGTTTGTAATGAAACATGCAGTTGGTCAATGTTCTTTAAGTACTGATGATATCCAGACAATCAGGTAAGTGCACTTGCGCTGTATTTGAACGCTGCTGCTAAACCTCTACCAAAATGTCATAGCTTAATTATGCATGGCTCATTGTGCTAAATAACCAGTTGCCTCTTACTGTCGACATAGATGTATTTTATTTGATTCATGCTATTTAATTAAGGCAACTGACTTTTCATTTATACATTTAAAATGTCAGTTTGGCTCATTAAAGAGCAAACAGTGAGTGCGTTTACATGTTTATAATCTGATAACTGCAGAAAATCAGATTTTGTCAGTAATCTGATCAATGTGTTTACATTCACTTGAGTAATCAGCTAATGGTAAAACTCCAAGTCTACGTGAGTCTGTTTTACAACCAGCCAATAAACTCACAGAAGAAGACGTGACGTAACCGTAACGTAAAACTCAAACTTCATGCTGCCGCTTTTTTTAAAAACATTGCGCCACCTGAGAATATAAGAAGATGAAGAATATTTAAATCCTTTATTTCATCAAGCATGTATTTGATTTCAGCGTTGCTTCAAAAGTGTTTTGCTGCGTCACTCAGTAACGCTGCTCGCTTATTTCTGGTACCGCTGTCTGTTTTCGCACATGTGCAGACTGAGAAATCCCAAAGAAATCAGAGTAAGAGTTTACATGCACTAAGAAATCTGATTACTGAGCTAATATCCAGCCTTTTTATCGGGTTTCTTAATCTTCTTAATTTTCTTCTTAATTTTCTGAGTGTGCTCAGAAATCAGAAATCAGAGTGTGCTCTTTACATGACCATTTGAAAAATTCGATCAGTGCAGAAATCCGATTCACATTGGACTAATGAGCGCGTGTAAACGCGCTAAATGTAATTTAATGTGAAACTTCTGAGTGTGTTTCATGAGCTTCAGGAAAAAAAATCAGCCGTCGGCAAGTTCCCCTATAAAGAGAGTGGAACTGGAATCGGTCATTAAAATTCATGATCGGTGCATGATCCCCAAGGATAATGATAAAAACTGTCATATCGCCCTCTTCAGCAGAGGAATGGAAGCCTGGACTCACTGAACATTATATGAATGCTCTAACTAGCAACCACACACATGGGTGATATAGGTTTTGCATAAATCTTTAACTTCAATAAATGGTATTATCATTTAAAGGCTGCATTTTGTGTTTACTCGTGTTGTGTTTTTCTTATTAAATCTTTTTCACAGCACTGTATGCAGAATTTACAATTAAAAAGTACATTTAAATATGAAGTAATACTGAAATGACGTTCATAAAATAAATCGAAATAAAATGAATGTAAGACTTGTAGGTGTGTAACAGTATCCTCAGCCCATGACTGGGAGTGGGATGTATAGTTAAGTCGGAAGTGTGTCATACGACACTGAACATGCTGGTGTGGGTAAAGCTGGGAGTGTATTGTATGACATTGAACGTGCCGGTGTGGGTTAAGCTGGGAGTGTGTTATGACTGCTCTTGTGGTTGGTTGCAACCTTGCGTGTTCGAACAATGGAACTGCATTAGATGAATGCCTTATTAATAGAATGCATGGGAGTTTCTCAGTCTGTCTGTTCTTGCATGTAAAAATGCCACATATAGAAAACAGAAAGCCACGTACAGCAAACTGAAGCCCATGTATAAAAACAGAAGACTGAACTATGATCTTTTCTATTGTCTCTTTTCATTGAACATAACACTACACCCTATTCTCCATCTCCCTGTAAATGGAAGATGTGTACTACGGCTAATGGCGGTGTGATTCTCTCTTCCAGGGGTTTAGGGACCCACTGGTCCCTCCTTGCCCCTCCCTTTCGTCACAGCTTCATAGAGCAGACACTCCACATCTGTGCATCCCAATCCCTATGGGCCAGCATCCAACCCGCAGAGACACAGAATGAGAGAGACGAAGGGCGGAAGAAAACAGACTGTAGGGAGAGAGAAAAAAGAAAGAGAGCGAGAAAGGACAGGTGAGAGAGAAAACAGACATCCAGAGTCCCTAACACTACCCACTGACAGTCAATGGCCATTCTAATTATGCTACAGTCCCCTCCACAAGGATATAATGGTGAGTTATTATATGCTTATTATTATTATTATTATTATTGTTGTTTATAATATCCATGACTGAGAACCCGTACTATACAGTTCTTTAAATAACATTAAAAAGTGTTGTGCTATTACTGTTATTTACGCTGTTATGCTACTATTATTGTGCTATTAAATCATTGCATGGTTTTGGTACTATACAGAACCCTTTTTCCCAAAGAGGGAGAAGAGACAGAGAAAATAAAAAAAGAGAAGAATAAAAGTGGAGATAAGGACTACAGGCTTCCTCTGTTTCATCCCTCCTACCCACACTACGTCTGCTGCTTCCCTGTCCTGCTGCGTTTCGGACGGCGGGCTCGAAAACCGTGAGGCCAAACCCGGCACAGTGCGGCCAAAACCCACAGCATGTTTCCCTGCAGCCTGCTGCCACTCTGCACCCAAAATATCACCACTTATCTGTGTGTTTGGCATGAGGAAACGCTCGAGTTCATCATCCAGTCCTGCTCATTGGACCGTTTATAAGGAAATAATGAGGTTCTTTCCCCCAGAGAGGTGACGGGGAATTAATAGTGAATACATGAAGAGTGGGAGAGCCCCTATTAAACGCCGTTCCAGGAAAAAATTGAATATTATGTCTGGCCCCAGACAAAACACCACTGATGCAATGATATGTTAGAGCTGATTTGCTGGTTTTAAAGGAGCCATCTTCAGACTGGAAAACATGAGATATTGGGAACCCCCCAAGTGTTGATAGGTGGAGCTGTATGGACAGTCTATGATCAAGTTTAGTCCAATGAGACTTTCTTCTTTATGATATGCAATAGCTTCACATGCCTAAGCAATACTGAAAATTTGTGGGAGTGTGTGTGTGTCGTCACGGAAATACTGATGAGGAAGGAGTCGAAAGGTGTGTACCGTCAAAATAAGTATGTGTACATTGATGTAAATGTATGTGATGGTGTTATATGAAGATTATGAACTGCTGTCACAATTGCTCAGTTAAAGGGGAATTCCACCATTTTTTACGTTTTTATTTCAACTGTCAAGATGTAAACAGAGTCAGGATTGTCCACAGTGGTGGTGATAGGTACCAGACGTCCTAAGTGTTCAATGTCTCTAAAAGCTACCATTACAGGAAATGGTAACAAATACGCTGACGCCTAAGCCATTGTTTTATGATGGTTTCGAGATAAGGTTTGGCCTAAAACATATTTTTTTAATCAGTTAATGGTGGAGAGCTACACGTAATGCACAAAAACACTCTGAATGACATTGTTTACATCTAAAAGATTGATTTCTGTAGAATTTTTTCAAAAAGTGATGGAATTCCCCTTTATTTCACAGATTTTTACCTGATTTAACTAATAATTGATTCAAATCTAACTTCCTGATGAATTTGCAATGTTTAGTTGGTAATTTGCATAATAATAACTCATATTAAAATTTTCTCCTGATCTCCTTTACAGTTAGAAACAGACCCTATTGCAAACATTTCTATGCATTTTTGCCACACGATTTTAGATTTTTAATGAAATCTTTCAACAGCCTGTTTCCTCTGTAATATATAATATATTTTGGAATGTTTAAACAAATTTCCATATTTTTTTATTTGTTTTTTTTATTATATACATTTTTATTTGTTTGACCTTTTTTGGACCTCTTAAAATCCCAGGCTTATTATATACTAAGGCTTATTATTCAGTAACTACGGAGTCTTCATTGCAAACTGGCTGAGCTATTCTTTGGTTATAGGAGTGTGTAATAAAACCTTCCGCCCACCGGTGCACTAATAGAAATAAAGGTTCTGTGCAGGTACATTTTTTTGTTCATCAAGGTACAAACAGTGTAAATGTTCCCTCGAAGGTACAACAGTGGTTTTAAGGTCCGATTTTAAGGTGAACCTTAAATAAGTTTTTCCAGGTGAAAAGTTCGTATTTGTACCTTTTCATAACTGAATGTTTTAAAACAGAACAGTAAAATAAAAGCCTGGAGACGAGACGGGGTGTGTGGAGTCAGTACAGCTTAGAACATATCATTTCAGTGGATTATGGTTCAGTTATGTTCCCTGACTGAAGGAACTGAGATGTACCCTTGAGGGGACCACCCCAGTGACAAGAGCATTACAGCCCCAGTAACAGTTTACTACCTTTACTTGTGAGAGTGTGGGTCCCAGCCATTTAAGGAGTTAAAGACTCCAATTACTCAATTAATCTTCATAATAATTAGTAGAATAATTGATTACTAATGTAATTGTCCCAGTATGCATTCTTAAAAACTAAGTTCCAGAGCTTCCGAATGGTGCAACTGTCTAAATGTTGGCCCCATCATCATGAGATCGTGAGTTAGATACCCGGTGATGCTACAGCCACCGTGGCCGGGAGTCCAAGAGAGCACAACTGGCATCGCTCTCTCTGGGTGGGTAGGATGGCTCTCCCTCTCCCCCCATCACTCAGCGAGATGCTAGCTAGTGTCTGTTAGCTGATGTAATGCATGCATGTTCAGCTGTCCAGTGATGTTGCGTTAACGGCAGTTCGAAAAGATGCGGTGGCGCTTCACAGGTCTTAGAGAAAGCCTGTGCTTGCCTTCACCCTCATAGAGCTGGTGGTATCGTGTGACTGGGGGAGTCCTAACTAGTGGGTGGACTTGGATACAACTAAAATGGGGG